GTGAGCCCCAGCTGCTAGCCGTGCAGATGCTGGCCCCAGGGGCGCGGGGGGGGGGGGGGGGCGCGCGGGGGGGACACGGCCCCGGGGGGGGGGGGGGGGGGAGGGGCTCCACGGAGACACAGGCCCCAGAGGCGTGGTGGGGGGCTCCGTGGAGATGCTGGCCCCAGGGGCATAGCGAAGGGGGTCGCTCTCACCTCGTTGATGTCAGCACAGTGAGTGCCGTTGCCCTCGAAGCCGGGCGGGCAGGGCCCGCAGCGGTACCCGGGGTACTCGTACGTCTCCATACAGTCGACACCACTGAAGCAGGGGCTGGGACTGCAGCGAGAGCGGTGCTCGTGGAACCCTGCAGACAGAGCCGGGGAGGGGAGGGGAGGGGAGGGCAGGTCAGCTGGCCGGCCCAGCACAGGGAAGGGGACCCCCGAGGTGGGCGCCAGCTCCCCCAGGGCCCAGGCACTCACCGCAGACCTGGCACTCCATGATGGTGTTCCGGATCAGAGACATCTCCTTCACCTGCAAGACAGCCAAATGGAGGATTTCAGAGCCAGGCAGGGCACGGTCTACAGGCCAGATGGTCCCCACACCAGGCAGCAAGCGGGGGAGATGCTGCGCCCCCAAATGTCACTACAGGGCCCAGTTAAGGACACAAGAACCTTCTTCACGCCACAGAGAGAGGGGAAGGGGCCAGGTGGGTCAGTGTGGGAGGGGGTGGGGCCACGGGAACCAATCTGGGAAGTGTAGGGGCCGGTGGAGCAATGGGAAGTCCCCTGGCTCCCAGCTGTGGTTACATTCGGTGACCCCACCTGTGCCCCCCCAGACTCCACCCCAGCACCCAACCACCAGCCTCCTGCCAACGCGCGGGGCCAGGGCGAGAGTCGGGCTAATGGCCACATCCAGACTTTGCTTGTGACGAAGTGGGACTGTTCTTAATGTTTCCTCTGAATACTGTAGGGGTGCCTCAGTTTCCCCTTTGCATTTCTTAAGTCTCTAGGTGGTGGGATAAGGGGTGTAATTATTGCAGAGCAAATGGCCAGTGTACATAAATGGCCGACACACTGTCTCCTGGCAACTAATGGCCGGGGCCCTTCCCCCCTGCAAGGAGATAGCTGAAGGTGCTGGAGAACAAAGGAATCAGGTGACCTCCTGGCCCGGGAAAGGGACAAAGCCCAAAGGAGGAGGGGCTGGAGGGAGTTTCAGTTTGGAGCTGGCTGGAGACAGGAAGTGAGGGCAGACGGGGTTGTCTGGCTCGCTGGGCCCCAGAATGGACCCGGCTGAGGGATCCGGTTCTCTGGACCTACAAGCTCTGTTTTAGACCATGTTCCTGTCATCTAATAAACCTCTGTTTTACTGGCTGGCTGAGAGTCACGTCTGACTGCGAAGTGGGGGTGCAGGACCCTCTGGCTCCCCCAGGACCCCGCCTGGGCGGACTCGCTGTGGGAAGTGCACGGAGGGGCAGAGGATGCTGAATGCTCCAAGATCAGACCCAGGAAGGTGAAGCCGTGTGAGCTCCTTGCCCTGAAGACAGTCTGCTCACAGAGAGGAGACTTCCCCAGAGTCCTGCCTGGCTTCGTTGGGAGCAGTTCCAGAGCATCACCTGGGGACTCCGTGACAGTGCTGATCCTGCCACAGCAAGGGGGCCACCCTGGAACCAGGAGCACCGGCCCCCGAAGCTGGCTCACCTGGTCGCGGATGTCCTCTCGCAGCTCCCCCAGGATCCGGTTGAAGAGGGTCAGCTGAATGGCCAGGGCCTTGGCCTGCTCACCTGCCCACACACAAAGGACAAGGTCAGGGTCCAGGGCAAAGACTCTGGGGGCCGCTGGCTGGGGACCACTCTGCCCAATGCCACCCTGAGCTCACGGGGAAGGGCAGACGCCACCACCTAGTGGCCAGTAGGAGCCAAGCCCGCCAGGGACAAACCCCGAGTCAACCCTGGGCTCCTGGTTCTTCCCCTGGTCACCAGACCTGCCGAGACAGACAGGGCCAGGGCCAAGCAACGCAGATGAGGGCTGAGTCCCATCCCACACAGCCCTGCTAGTGCCCTGCTATCCCAACCCTAGGTCTTCTGAGCACAGAATGACACTCCTGTTCAGTGGCCTTATGCTGTGGACAAGGGAGCAGGCTGAGACCCCCAAACTCATTGCATTTGTGGCTCTGGCAGTGTTTGCACCAAGGTGTGGCTGGGCAAAAGGTGAGGTCATTAGACAGCTGCACGAGTCCCCTTCCCCACCCAGCATCCCTGAGGCCTCCAGCTGCCCACAAGCGGCTCCCCAGACCCCAGAGGGTGGGAGGGTGACGAGCAGCCAGCAACTCACCCAGGATGGAGTTCAGCACCCCGGTCACTGCAAGGGAAGAGACAGGAGGAGAAGTTAGTCCGGCTAGCGCATCACCTGCCTTCCTGGGGCAGGAGGCCACGGCTCAGGGCTGCTGCAGCTGCCACTGGGCCAGCCATTCCTGGCAGGTCACCAGCAGGGGTGGCCGCTGGCCAGATGGAAGCCAGGCTGCAGCATCGCCCCTCGCTCAAATGCCAAGTGACCAGAGATGATGAATGCCCCAGAGCCCCACGGGAAAGCTTCCAGGTGGCTCGAGGCCTCGCGCCCTCCAGGAGGAGGCTGCTGGGGAGAGCCTGCCGGGGAGAGCCTGCCCTGGTGGCGTCAGGTGCTGGGGGAGAAGGAAGTGGCACCACCCAGTTGTGCTTTGCCTGACAGACTCTCTCAGCAACCTGTGTGTGCGTGAGCTTTGTGGCCACCTGTGTTTCCTACGTGACACACACATCTGGGTCACCTGCTTTCCATGTGTAACACACATGACTCGGATTCTGTCCATGTCCCTGCATTTGCCTCCTGTTCAGTATGTAACACACACATGTAGGTGCACCTGGACCCCCCGTATGTGCCGGTATGGAGCCCTTGTTCAGTATGTAACATGTGTGTGTATGTCTGTGCAGTGCCCGTGTTGGATGTATGACATGTGTGTGTCTGGCCCATGTGTGTCTGTGCGGTGCTCATGTGGGGTGTATGACATATGTGTGTCCAGACCATGTGTGTCCGTGCTGTGCCCATGTGACGTGTATGACATACGTGTGTCCGGCCCATGTGTGCCCCTATGGTGCCCGTGTTGGGTGTATGACATACGTGTGTGCGGGCCACGTGCGCCCCTGCGGTGCCCCCTGAAGTTACCTGCGTTCTGGATGGATTCATCCCCTTGGAAGGGACATTCGCTCAGGGCCCCAACTCGGCTCATGGACCCTCCTAAAATCAGCTTCATTGACTCCACGAACCCCTGATCCACAAAGAGAAAACGGCTCAGCCTCTGGGATCCCGCTGCCATGGTCTCGGTACCCATGGGGCAGGGTGGGACACGGCCGCCTGCAGCACTGGGCTCCTGCAGCCCCGCAGTTCCCAGCCTGCACCCCCCTTTCGCTCACCTGCATCTTCTGATAGGCCTTCTGCCCTGTGCGCACCTCGACCGACTCCACCTCAGCCTGGGGCAGGATCATCACCTCGGGCAGCCCCACGCTGGAGTCCACCTGCTTGCAGTCCACGTAGAGCTCCATGGCCAGGGTGTCCCCACGCAGGCCGCTCAGCCGCACGATCACCGTGTGGCTCCGCCCGTCCGCCACGCTGGCGTGCTGCAGGTTGACGGAGTGCACCTTGCCATCTTCCCGCATGTAGCGCACCAGCACTGCCGAGCAAAGGACCGGCCGTGAGGGTTTCTCCACAGGGTGGGGACCCCCAGGGGACGGGCATGCTGTGCCCGGCACGCCCACGCCAGCCAATGTACCCTACCCAGCAGACGGCCCGTCTCGACGGCCAGGTCCACTGATGCAACCTTCAGAGTTTCCCCTCCCCGCAGAGCCCACCCTGCCTTGCTGGGACCACTCTCCTGGCTGGGCCGCCTGTATTGCCAGCTCCCTGCGTGAACTGCCCCCATACACCTCACCTGTCCACTTCTCTTCCAGGGCCTGAGACAGGCACAAGCCCAGAGGCCTCCCATCTCCCGACGGGCACCCCCGTCCCTGGCTCAGCACCCCCCTTACCTTTGTTGATTTTCCCAATGACGGAGGCCTCCAGCCACCTGGTGTTGTCCTTTTTGGAGTACAGGCCGAAGAGCAGCCCGCCCTGCTTGGGGGGCAGGCGGAAGGTGGAGAGGAGGTAAATGTCATCGACTGCCAGTAGTTGTGTCCTGATCTTGTCTGCTACACTGGCCATGTGCCGGGCCTCGGTCACCGTCAGCAGGTCTAGGACTGCAGGGAGGAGAGAACAGGCAATCACACCGACAGCCAGAGGTACCTGCAGAGAGCCTAACCCAGGACTTGCCCGCCACCCCCGGGCGAGGGAGCACAGCGCTTGGGGAGACTTTGCAAAGCTTCCCCTGCAAGGGGCATGGCCGGTCCAAGAGGGCAGCGAAGGACACGCTGCAAACACCAGAGATGGACAGATGCAAACAGAGCAAACCCACTCTACCTCCAGGGCAGTGACTGTCTGGCAGAGCAGAGCTCAGAGGCTGCAGTTCCTGCCCTGGGGGGCTGGCATCCTTTCCATTCTGCCTGAGCCAGGATCAGGGCCTCCTCTCCAGCTCGTTGGAGCCAGGATCCCCCCTCATCTTCCCTGCCCACGTCACTCTTCTTCCCTTGCATCAGTGCAGGAGAAATTGCTGTAGAGCCCCAGGGGCCTGGAACTGAACCCAGCAGCACCCGGCCCGAGGAGGGAGAAACCTCTCCTGGGAGCTGAGCCCACAGGCCTCTCGCGGGGGAGCACTGGCCACAGGGAGACCAAACCCCGGGCGGTGGCAGCCCCGTGGAAAGGTGCAGGCTTGGCAGAGCGGGGGAGCACTCTCCACAAGGTGGCGCTCCGGCATCGCAAGCAGACGGGCTGGTGGCTGTGGCCACCCTAACACGGTTCAGCGCTGTCCCAGCCCAGCCCAGCCACGTCTCTGCCACCTCTGGAAACAGCCGGGTCTGGTCCTGGGAGCCCCTCACAAACAGGCAGCAGGGAGGCCAAGCCACAGAGATGCTGGCATGGGGGAGAGGGGTTACCGCTGCCGGTCCTACTGCCTGGCATGTCTCCACCAGCCATGCACTCATCTGGACTAAAGGTTCAGTGGCCATAGGACCTGCCTCTGTGAAAACCGCAGCGGCTGCCCACCCCCCTTCCATCCACCAGACTCTGAACAGCCTGCTCCAGAGCACCCGGGAGCCTGGTGCTCCAGATTTCAGATCCGGTCCCTGCTATGGTCTCTCTCACGCCACCTCTCCACTGCAGCCCCCTCACCTGTGAAAGGGGTGAGAGTGATCCTTGCCCCCCACCCACCCGAGCTAGGAGGGTCACCAGTTCAGGTCTGAAAAGCACGCTGGAGATGGGAAGTCCTGGATGCTGAATACTGGGATCCCTCAGCTGATTCAGCTACCTCTGGGGTAGGACCTGGCAGCCGTCCTACACCAGCAGCACCCTGGAAAACCCCACAGAATCTTTAACAACGACACAGTGTGCGTGGGGCACACAGATACCCCAATAAGCCCTGAGATGCCGCCTGCTCCTTCTGCAAGGGAATCCGGGGCAGCAGGGTGTAGCTTGTGCCCCCGATGAATTTCCCTGCGTTAGGTGAGCTCAACCAGCAGCCCCTCAAATCCAGCCCTGACAGGAAGCTCCCTGAATGTCCCAGCCGGCTCAGGCTGGCACTCCGGGTCACCAACAGAGCGGCCTCCTTTCTGACGTGAATCTGATCAAAGCCAGAATGAACCGTGACCCAGCCCTTTGAACTCTGACCTCAGGCTGTATCCTAGACATCTAGCACCTTGACCCTTTGAGCACCTCTGAACTCTGACCCCAGGCCAGCTCCAGCCAGTCAGCACCTCTGACTTTTGACCTATGGGTTCCTCCTGGCCAATGAGCACCCCTGAATAATACCGATCCTGACAGCACCTCTGAACTCTGACCATGGGCTGCTCCGGAACCAGCCCCTTTGCTAGCACTTGGTTGCACCCACCAGTGTGCTGGATGGAGCTTCAGGTCTGGAACCAGAGGCATTGGCTTAGCTCTCAGCTACCGGCTGAATATTTAGATTGATAGGTTTATACACAGCCTTTGGTCTGGTTCACCACCACTAGTCCCTGCAGAGCGCTGTGGGCAACACCCCGTCCTGGATGGACCCCCCACTCCCTCCAGCAGCACCACACTGCAGGCTGCTCTGTGGTTTCCAGGCTTGGGGGGGAAGAATGTCCTTCTGTACTGCAGCACAGAGACCCAGACACTTGTAGCTGTCCACAGTCCCTAGCGCCAGACCTCCCAGGGAGGTCAGGAATCCAGCTCCCAGGTCCACCAGCCTGATGCGCGGAGCTGAGCGCAGACGGGCTGCCCCGGCTGGGGAAGGAGGGTTCCAGGAGCACTTGCTGCAGAGTTGGAAGCCACTGGCTGGGACGCTGGGGCATGTGAATCCCAGGCTCCTCCACTCCTTGGCTCACAGGAAGGGGATACAGAAGAGAGGCTGGGCAGGGGTGCGGGGCAACATGCTGCCGGTATCTGCCCTTTCCCAGTCCCTCTGCTCCCCAAATCCCAGCCAGTTCCCAGGGCCCCACGGCTCCCAGACACCTCAGTGACCCCATCCCCCTATACCCAGGATTTCCAACTTCCCCAGCCTGCAGCTCCCAGAAAGTCCATCCTGCCCCCCACCTTGCGCTGGCCCCTAACCCCGGCATCCCCAGCCCTTGCAGTTCCTCACAACCCCGCACCCCATCCATTCCCTGCAGCATCCTTGTTGGCACCATCCTGCAGCTCCAGGCTCCACACGGCCCCAGCCCCGGCAGGCAGGTCCCCCCAGGAGAAGGGCGGCTGAGGCTTCCCGCTGCTAGATCTTCGGGGCGGTCTCTCCCTTACCCCAGGGCGCAGCGCCCGGCGGGCTGAAGCCGAAACACACTCGGGGATCCCTCTGCCGCCCTCGGGGTCCCAGCGCGCCCTGGAGCGCAGCAGGCTGCAGCCGGCCGGAGCCGGGGCAGGAGACCCAGGGCGCGGGGCAGCCCCGGGCAGCCCCAGCCCCCAGGGGCACGGCGGGGCCCCGCTTACCTTGCAGCTCCTGCCTGGCGGCGCTGGCCGCGCCGAGGACGAGTAGCGCCAACAGCCCGCGGAGCGCCCCCGTCTCCATGCTGCTCCCCAGCCCCTGCGCGCGGGGGAAGCCCAGGCGAAGCGCCGGAGCCCCGAGCGCTGCTGCTCGGGGGCGGGGGATGGCGGGCGGAAACAAAGAGCCGTCAATCAGGGGCGCTCCTCGCGGGGACCCGGAGCACGCAGCCCGGCTTCGGAGGTTTGAGCCGCCGCCAGGCCAGCTGGCTCGCAGGCCCCGTCCCCTCCCACGCCGCGGGGAGCCCGGCCCTCGGCTGTCA